CTGCCAAGGCACAAAGCAGCGCCAAAGCTGCGGGGCGCTGGCCTCCCCCCAGCGTGCCGGGGAAGAGGTCCCCACCGAGGTGCTGAGGGTAGCCAGGGCACGCTGCCTCCGCAGCTCGCCAAGCAACCCCATCCCATCTCAACTGATCCCATCCCACATCCTCTCAGCCCTGCAGCATCACAGCTGACAGGACCTCTAGGGCAGGGCGATGCTCCAGCAGGGAGGGCAGCAGGGGCAAGGAAGCCCCCCCCACCCCCGTGCTGGCAGGGTGGCCCTGCTCCGGGCAGCAGCATCCCCCAGGAGGGATACTCACATGGCCCACTGCAGCTTCTCGTTCTTGATGGAGCCATACAGCGCCTGCAGAGAGAAGAGTCTGGGATCAACAGGGGGGTGGTGCCAGGTCAAGGGAGCTGCTCCAGGGATGGAGAGGGCACACCAGGCCAGCTCAGGGGCACTGGAGGTTAAGACAGCCCCAGTCCAGTTCACCCTGGTCCAGCCCTGGCCTGGCCTGGACAGCTGGCTGGTCTAGTTTCAGGGCTACAGGTACCTTCTCCTGGGCACCACAGGACCTGCAAACCCACACACACCCTTGGGCACGGTGCTTGGGCACGGCCCTGCCTGTCTCCCCTCGCCTCCCCTCCCTCTCTGCCTGCCTGCAACAGTGGCACAGCATTAGCAGCATGACAGCAAGATGCACCAAACACTTCCAGTCCCTTGGGAGATCCACTTCTCCTTGCTCCAGGCTGTCCCAGGCTGGCCAAAGGAGTGGCCTTCAGGCTACCCAAGCCCCAGGAGAGAAAACCTTTGGGCCAGACTTCGATGGTACATGCCTGCACCCTGCTCGGTGGGGCTTCAGCCTGCCCCAGTGGCTCCAGCAGCTCCGTGCCACGACACACCACAGCCAGCAACCTCCCTGCTGTCGGCTGCCTATCCTGGGCTGGCTGAGGCAGGCTTGTGGCAGGAGCCAGTGCTCCCCAGCAATGTGATGTTCCCATAGGAGGCTGCTTGGGAACACACTTAAGCTTCAGGAGAGACTTCAGCAGGGTGCTGGCCCTGGACTTGCAGAGACACCAGCACACTGTCATTCATTAAGACCTCAAAGGACCTCACAGCTGGTCAAGGCAGGATGGGTGTTTGCCTACTGCTGGGCTGCTGCTGCTTGGGGTGGCTGTGGCCTGTGCCTACCTCCTCCCCAGCACCCCCTAAGCACCCTGCCCTCCCTGCCGGCCCAAACACTGCCAAGTTGAGCAAGGCAGGACACGCTGCCTGCATCTGGGATGCTCCAGGGCTCTGCTCCCAAACATTTGTCTGGTCTGAGCTGGGTGCAAGCCAGAAGTGCTCAGTACAGCTCTGCAGTCGGGGAGGCTCTGGAGAGGGTTTCAACACAGCGCTTGCAGAGGGCTTTGGAGCAAGATCTGGAAGACATCATCCTTGGAGGAAAATAATCTAGTCTTGCACAGGCTGTTCAGGCAGCTATCAACATCCATCACTGGGCTGGAGACCGCTGCTGAGAGATCTTGCTGGTGGCTGAGAAAGTACAACTGGAGGCATGCAGGGGCCCGGGAAAGCTGGCCAGCAGACATGCCCCAGCAGTGTCTGGGGAAGGGACATCCATCACTCCCTCGAGAGGTGCAGCAGCCAGGATGGAGCAGGGACCTCCCGCACTTCCCTGTTGGGGAAACGCTGGCAGAGCATCAGCTTGTCTCTCAGAGGATGAAAGGGATCGCCCCGATCTGCAGGTAGAAAGTGGGGGTCACTGGTCTCCTGGTAAGACAGGAGGCTCAGGGAGGGGGCGCAGCCTCAGTGCCTGAGAGGAGATTAGACCCCAGCCCCATTTGTGCAGCCCCAGCACCAGAAGGGCAGCATGCTGAGGTGTGAGCAGGGGGTACCTGCCGGAGGCTGGCAGCAAGGCATTCAGAGGAGCACTCGTTGCAAAGAGACTTAGAGAAGAGCCTGGGAGGAAAAAAAAATAAAATGACCCAAAGTCCTGCAGAACATAACCTGGGAGCAGAGCAGGGGGAGAAGCAGGCGTCTCAGAGCAATGTTGATGATAAGGAATCACCACGGGAAACAGAAGGGAAGGGATCTTACTCACTGCCAGGGACACGGCCGAGAGATGCTGAGAACCAACAGACACAAAAAGGAGACTGGAAAACTGGCAGAGAGAAGGGGGGACTGGAAACTGCAGAAAAGCTCCTCGGAAAGAGCAGGCAGGACGGGACATGTGGCTTGGCTTCCACCCGGCTCAGTGCCACTACAGACTGGGGTCAGCTCCGCACCCCAAGGAAGGGAGATGTGAGCCAGCCGAGCTGGGATTGTGGAGGGCAGGGCGAGGCACCGCACCGGAGGGGACCATGGCCCCCCAAGCCCCGGCCCCACGCGGGGCTTGCGGGAGGATTGCTGCTGGGTGAATGAGCTGGTGTCGGAAGATGCTGGGGGAGTAATTGTGGATGGCACAGTGCCGGAGGACAGCCCGGCAGAGCACCATGCTACAAAAACCTGGGCTCTGGGACTGTCAGCACACACTTCAAAGGCTGAACTGCCTTGTGGCTTCAAAAGACTCCAGCCGCCCTGCTACAAGCCCTGACAGCATCCCACAAGCCCGCTGTGGGCAGGAGCTGCCAAGTACCCCCACCTCAGAGACGGGGAGCAGGGCCTGCTTAGCCTTCCTGTGAGGGGGGGACAGTGAAGAGACAAGCAGGGGGGGCTGGGAGGATTGAGAGGGCAAGCCATCTACACTTAAATCCTGCCAAGATTGTTTGGCTAAATGCCACCCCCAGCCGACACCACTCTCAAGAATAAAGCTCATGGACTCAGCCCAAGTCCTAGCTGAGAAGACGCACTCCAGCCACAAAGCCCATCCCACTTTTCTGGTCCCGTGGCAGTACCATCACCCATCAGTCTGCTAAACTCTGGGCTCTGTGGTGCACGGACCGTTTCGGCTGGGAAGCACAGGCTGTGCAGGCTCCCGAAGCCTAATTCACAACCACGTCAGCAGAGAGCAGAGACACTGGTTTCATCGCTCAGCAGGTTCGTCTCTCCAGGCTGTCTTTGCTCCGTGGATTCATTCCCCCTGGGCCAAAAGGACAGCACCTCTTGGCAGCTCTGAACTTGCAAGCACTGCTCAAGAGAAAGCAGGGTGCTGGCCCCATGCCACTGCGGCTGACCCCACGCGTGGTTGGGGTTTTTTGTCATCGCTGGGTTATGAGCTCACTGCTGCAGTACGCAGGGCCAGCCAGCTCTGCCCTAGACATGCGCAACACCGAAGAGACCTAGGAATATACTGTCCCAGTGGGAATTCTAACTGAACCAACAACATCTTTCTTTCGGTGCCCTCCCTCCCGAAAGCAGGCTGAGAGGATGTCCCCGCGTCCTGCTCTAGCAAACGTCTCCAGGAGGGGTGGGAGCTGCACGGGCAAGAGGCAGGTGGCTCTGACGCTCCAGCCCAGCCTTAGCACCAGCCCGGCTGGGGACAGCCCTGCGCAAGCAGGGCAGGGAGAAGACCTCTCCCTTCAGCTCCCCAGCTCAGAGCACACCAGAGGGGGCATCCAGTGCCGGTCTGGGGAGCCGGGCAGCAAGCTGGCCTGGACACAGGTTTGGCACACACTGGACTGTACCGAGGGCTGTAGCCCAGCACTCAAGTAACAGAGGAGGGAGGGTTAAGGCAGGAATTTAGGCATCCAGCAGAGGGTTTTAGCCCTTTCTGGGGTGCCTCTTTTATGGATCATAACTCTTCTAGGCATGTCCCCTTTCCAGTCTGCTGGTTCCTGTGCTAAGCAACACAGTGCTCGGCTCTCAGCGCTGCAAGATGCCCTGTGCAGGTCAAGGCTCCCCTTCCTCCTGCCAGCCCTGTGATCAGCCACGGCTGCGTGACATTCTGCAAGACAGACTTCACAGCCACCAAGCGCCCTCCCTGCAGTCATCCTCCCTCTCTCTGAGCCTGGCAGCGTTTCAATACGAGAGCTCAATTGCTGGCTTTTCCCAACTTTTCCTTAGTGAAATATCTTTCGCTACACCCAGCCACAAAGCTCTGTCAGGTCCCCCAGGCGCCCAGACCCACCAGCTGCACGGATAGTAATGGTACCATCAGATCAGGGGCGTAGATCAGTGGGAACCGTACCCATGTCAGGTCCCTTATTCACCTTCATGGCACCCCCTCCACCTCCGCTGCCTGCCCAGCACACACAACCCATGCTCAAGAACAACTCATCACCTGGCACACACCAACCCTGCTGCCCACACCCCGTGTCCCCCCCCTCCCCTCCACTGCAGAGGGGCTCCTGCATGCACACAGAGCAGAGTGACTTGGGGATGGACTTTTTTCCCCGTTGGGTGGGCTGCCCTGGGGACAGTGTCCTGTGTGTCACCTTCCGCCCTGCTACAGGCGGTGATAGCAGGCAGTGGGGCACAGCCACCCATCCCTGCCCCACGCTTTGAACTCAGCAACATCGAAAGCTGCGTAACATCTTTTAAAACATCCCTTGTCCAGCTGACTACCCACCCCCAGAACGGCAGACCCCTCTATCCCTCCCAGTGCAGCCCCACGGTGCGGGAAGCAGCGACCGAGCGTCTCCCTTCCAGCTGCTTGTTTCCATCCGAGTGCGTCACAACTTAATGCTGCCCCCAGACCGTACTGCGCTATGACAGCACTGCCGCTTCTCATGGCCCTGATGTCCCCACCAGGCTGGTTTTGACCACGGGGGCAGCCCCGGTGGCTCTGGGGTACCCCTGCCTGCTTTGCCCCAGCCTGCCTGCAAAGCCAGGGCTGGTGAGGACTCTTCTCTTGCTGCCACACTGGAGGCAGGCACCCAACCGAGGTAGGATGCACCCAGAGACAGCCTGTTCGCTTCTCCCCACCTAGGACTGATGCACACTAGCGTAACACCTCCGAAACGGATGCCGGCTCACAGCAAGCAAGCTCTTGGCAGTAAAAAGCCCTTTTTTGTCCAGGCAGCCACTCCTTCCTCTCCAGCTCGGCTCGGCTGGGAGCCGGGGCTGCAGCGCTGCCCCTCTGTGCTGCCTTGCGGCTCTCCCCACCACCCCAGCCGGGTTCCAGTCTGCCCCGGCCGGGCTGGCTCGGCTCAGCGCAGCCCTTGGCGGGGAGCCCGCAGAGCTTGTCACTTATGCCAGGCTGGAGGGCCGGTCCCAGCGGTGCGGCTCTGTCCTGGATTCTTCTCGCAGCGATGTTTTCGAGCAAGCGTTGCTGTCAAGCCATCGTCAGCGGCGCAATGTCACCCAGGTCTTGCCGTGCCCCTGCCACCCCCGTGCTGGGGGCAGGATGGGGGCAGGATGGCAGGGCTG